TCAGTTACAACAACCCAGATATAAACACGATTTCAAGATATTATTTTTTGGTCTCTTTTCACATAAAGTATCGAAAAAAAAATTAAATTCAGTGTAGCTCATGCAAAGTAACTTCATTCATTTTCATATGGATCCATTGAACACGGACATTTTTATTTAACCGCCTGAATTTGCATGCAACAACCGAATTCCTTGGAACGCGCGAAATTAGTATTAATAATTTTCACCAATTAGGAATGGCTGACGTTGATCGATACAAAGGGGGATTCTACAAACCTATTTAGAGTCACATGTGCTGTGCTTGCCCGAATTTCGAGGCATGGATGAAACTAGTCGACAACCGGTCGGAGTATCAGATAAACCAAAGATTGCTAACGAAAATGATATCAACATTCAAAGTACATAATTGAACCTTGACCACATATTTCACATAGGTCCTGAAAATCATGACGTTCACTCAAATAATGTAACCGGCAAAAATACATTGGCATACACAGTTGATCCTGTCCCAGCATCATATTCATTGGTCGAGCATGATAGTAAGTTACGGGAGAATAAGTTGGGTGGGGAATCCCGCGCCGCCGGACAAAGTATTTGACATTAATTATTCACGCCTTTAAAGCGAATGATTCCAGAATTTCTCATCCAGGTGCTGTCATAACGGAGGCCGCGGCGATGAGCGTAGAAAATAACGTTTCCGAAGTTAAAGCGACTGCAGCGGCTGGGGTTGAAGTCACCGACGGTACTACTTTGTCAACTTAACATTTACGTTTCTACTTAGGATCTGATGAGAAAAAAAGCGTGGTAGCTCAAGAATCTCCTCCTCCTACCACGGTTCCAGTGGCCCCGGCTGCTGCGCGGTCAAATGTGGGGAAATATAAACTTGTTAGGACGATTGGCAAAGGAAATTTCGCTAAAGTGAAGCTGGCTATCCACATGGCCACGGGCGTTGAAGTAAGACGCTTTCCCTGACTATTATTTTGGTAGGTGGCGATCAAAATTATTAATAAAAAAGGACTAGACTGGGCAGCGCACGAACGAGTGAGTCTTGTTTCTCACAAGATTTTATTTTCTATAGCTCAAACGGGAAGTCCAAATCCTGCAAATGCTTGACCATCCAAACATAGGTTAGAAGTATCTGCAAGTTTATCTGTTGCCTGTAGTCAGATTGCTGGAAATAATTGAGAACGATGAGGTTATTTGCCTGGTTCAAGAATATGCAAACGGTGGTGAGATATTTGACTACTTGGTTGCTCATGGCAAAATGCGGGAACGGGAGGCAAGAGCCAAGTTCCGACAGCTCGTATCGGCTATACATTACTGTCACTCAAAAAATATCGTTCATCGGGATCTGAAGGCGGAAAATATTTTACTGGATTCTAATCTTAACGTGAAAGTGGCCGATTTTGGTCTCGCGAATACTTTCAGACCAGACGAAAAGCTGTCCACCTTCTGCGGAAGTCCTCCATATGCCGCTCCTGAATTGTTTTTGGTGAGTCGGCCTGTTATTAAAGTATTTTTGCGTCATAATCATGCCCATCTGCTACCGACAAAGCTTTCTGTTGCATTCTAACCATGTGTTCTTTTTAATAGAAATTTTATTCTTGGTTATGCCTAAATATTTACGCTATGAATCTATGAGTTCCTAGATCGAAAGTTCAGCAGGTGTCGTAGGTTTTAAATTTTACGTCCGATGGCGCCCTCAGCATTGACAACATTATCAAGAAACTCCGTGACTTGCATCTAATAGGTTTCAGATTTAGAGACTTGCTTTATTGTTTGTGGGTTTACCTAATTTTTTTCTAATGTATTACAGACGTCAGTCTGACCACACTAGCCGTATTTCCTTCATTTCATTTTATGTAAGTCAACCTCGGATGCTCTGCCTGTTTATTTAGTCATTACAGAGGCGAGCAATAGGCCTCAACGTCCATTTGTTATTGCCTTGATAATCTATATATTTTCCTTAGTTGTTTACCTTTTGGTTGCCTTATATTTTTTGGCCAACTTATGTCAATTGGTGTTTAAAACTTCTAGTAAGAAGTAGGAATTTATCAGTTTGATAGATCTAATAAGTGGAAATCCCATTACTTCTTCCATAGGTGCAATCCCGTATTTTAGTCAATCGTACAGAAACTTGTATTGACAGAGTTCCTACCTTTAAACACAATGGCTTGAACCAACTGGGGTTCTGTACGAGCTTCGATTATCTTATAATTTAGCTTTTTAACTTGTCGAGTGATCAGATTACTAAATCTTTGCCACTATATATTAAAAAAATTTCTTTCCTCGCCTGCGGTCTCTTGTCCCTCGCCAGTCCATAATGTTCTGCTGAGAGGTATTTAGAAAATGCCACACTGAGCTCTTTCTTTCCCTTTTGCAGGGTATCCGATACTATGGGCCTGGAGTGGACATCTGGTCGCTTGGCGTAATCCTCTTCACTCTCGTAGTGGGACACCTTCCATTTGATGCTACCGACTTGGGCGAGCTTCGAACCAAAATTCTCACCGTGCAGTATCGCCTTAATCGAGGCGAAGTATCCCACGATTTGGAAATACTTCTTAAAAAGATGTTAGTTCTGGATCCGCGCGACCGGTATGCGCTGCATGTAAGCGCGATTTAAAAAGCTAACAGTAATTATCTTGAATATCTGCAGCATGTTCCGACGACGCGGCAAATGTTTTGTAGCCAACAGGAGTTTCTCTGGACCCATGCACGGGAACTTTGTCACAACCTCGATTACAGGCTCTGACTTAACGGAACCCACTCAAATGATACCCTAAAAACTCACGTTTTATGACCACGTTGAATATTTTGTCATCCCATAACCTGTTTGTGTTTAACCCATCTTTAAAAGTGATATGATGACCGCTATCTTATTCGTAGTCGGGTTTCTACGAGAAACGTACTCTGTTGGTTTGCAGCGATTTTCGATAAGATATACATATATATCCTTTGTTTCATTTTCTAATATTAAGCTTCCATATTGGCGAGGTTGTTATTGTATTATTTAAGGTTGTTTTTTGCCCCATACATTTTGGGCCATATGATAGTTGCGTTCGATCAATACAGGAACTAAATCAGGATACAGCATGCCTTATTGTTAATGCCTATGCATGAAAAATATCACACATGGATAATTGTGGGGACACGCATAGGTACAGTCTCACGCCCACCAACAAACAGCGCTCGATCTCACCTCCGGTATAATTGTCCTCGTCATGAAAACCTGCCCAGTTGTGTGTGAGAGAAGAGAGATTTCGATAAGTGCCCCGCAAGTTAACCGTCACTGCAAAGTAATTTATGCGCAAGTCACTGTTCCTGCGGCTACTATGCTGTGGAGCACACGATCGACATCGTCAAAACTGAGGTCTTTTAAG